ATAAACATGTTTGTTTAGCGTTACATTTGTATTCACAGATAAAAGTATAAATTGAAAACTGTGACGTCAATCATTTATTTAAAAAGTAATAAAAATCGTAAAGTTAGATATTTTTCTAAACCAATCATTAAAGTAAATTATATAGATTTTAAATCATAAAAATTATGTTGGAGCACAAAGCTGCCATAAAATTATTTCATTATATTTGGGGATGTATTGACTTCGCTTTTTGAAACCGAAGATAAAATTATAACAATATTTTTTGCTGTTTATATGAAACAACAGTCAAATTATAAAGAACATGCAGTTTTACACAATAAATGTATTTATATTGTTGAAAGTAAATAGTTATGCTTTATTTCATGATGGCATAGGAATGGTAACTTAAATATTATTCATTTTAGTTAGGTAAATTTTTACCTGACTCAGCATAGCTCCTGGCGGGTTTCTCCTCAACGGCGTATCGGAACCATTAATAATATTACTCATTTTCTGATTAGGCATTTTTCTGCGTTGACTAACTGAATTTTCATTCATAAAACCACTCCTGCTATGGCTAGGCGTAGTCATTTTCCTGCGAGTCATTGGTGAATCTAAGTTTGTTTTATTGTTTGTGCCTGAAAAATTGGGCTTTGTTTCTGGTTGAGGTTTGTGAATGCCATGTTTCAACCAGTATTCCATTTGCTGATCGCGAGATTCTTGTAGTGATTTTTGAATATCACCAGATTCTTTGATTAAATCTTGAAGTCTTTGTATTGTTTGATACAGTATCTCGGGTGAGACCAGACCAAAATCGTGCAGAGAACACATATGTAATACAAAATTTTTATATAAATTTTTTTCTAGAAGTTCTCTTCCGCGCATTTGAATGAACATAGCACAGGCTAAAGGTATTTGGCAGTCTCCCACATACCTAGAAAATTAAAAAAATATATATTCACTTTGTTATTAATAATGATTGCGCAAAAATTATGAAGCCATTTGAACTATTTCAGTAAGAAAAGACATACCCGTATTTCATAACATGCAAATTCCACATTTTCATAAGCTCCTTTTCACCTTCATTAACATCTGTGAATTCGTCTATCATCATCATTGTCTTTTGCCTTAACCACAAAGGATCACTTTCTCCTTCTGAATCAACATCTAGTTCTTTAGGCTGAATCGGTAGGCATGTTATTGTATGATGATACAGACTAAAAATCAATAAAATCATGAATAAAAATATAATGAAGAAATGCAAGAATTTAATCAATTGTATTAAAATTATTTTACCGATTGTGACCTGTAATGTAAGGTCTTTGGCTGTCGCATTCATTTTCATCCAATTCCAAGAATTCTGATAAACTGGGTTTACTTCTTCTTGGTCGGCAAACTAATATATGTGTAACCTAAATAAATATACAACACAGGATTAGTGCTATTAAGTTGCCTCTAGAAAATCTTTTTTTAACCGGTTTTGAATTTTTACATACAATAGTTCTTCGAGTCGGTCCATTCCTTGAAAATGCAAATCCAGAAGGGCCTAGCAAATCTTGAGGTGCCCCAACATAAGAACCATCATACAACTCGTTTATAGCTACATCTATTCTAGCACATTGTGTTAATGGCTGAAAATATAATCAAACAAAATAAGTAAAAAAAAAAAGTATTAAATTTTTACGAAGAAGATTTCAACAGTAGCCATCATATTATTTTAGCGGCCTACTTACCACATATGTAAAGGTAAATCTAGCATGGCACAGTTTCAAATGTTTCAGTAGCGAATATAATAATCCGCAATTCAGACTGCACCAAGGACAAAGAAAATCAATACAGGATTCAGTTTGCTGTCTCAAATTATTGTTATATAAAAATTGATACAGAACTTGTACTTTGCTTTCACGTTTTACTAGCTTATCATTTTCTGTTACAATTGAATTATTATTATTGCAAATATTTCTATTCTCTTTGTTTGCTTCGATGTTATCATTTGACTTTGTATATGGCATTGGTCTTTCAACAGTCGGTGGACTTGGCTCTTGTGTCCAACACAACTTAAATTTCAATGTTGGACTGTGTTGGAAAATTTCAAAAGGTTTGGATTTTGATTCATGTTTTGCTTTTTCTGGAATCTCTGATATTGTTTCCCAGTTTGATAACTTCTTAGGTGATGTTGCTGGAAATAATAATAATTGGATACATCTTCTAATACATAGCATCAATTTTGAATTTATATATTTTCTATCTGGAGATAGAGTAAATAAATGCTTTCAAATAATATTTTGTTCAATAAAATTAATCTTTATTCTTACTTTTCACATTGCATGCTATTTCTTGAAGGCGTATTTCATATTCTCCTTCAGTGAGTAGACAACGACCATGTTTATCATAAACAATCAGAGTTGATCCATAAATTTTACTGGTTTTCATTTTCTTTATTATTGGTTCTATAAATATATAAACAATATAAGATAATTGGTAACTCATTTATATAATAAATCAATTACCATCTGTTTGGCTAGCCGCAAAGTTAGGACACTGAACATGCAATAGTAGCATATAAGATTTCGATAATGGTCCTCCATTAGGCTTAAATGATTCTGATGGAATACTCAAAGCCGTTACTTGTGTGGGAGGGTTTGTATCACAAGGATTAAGGACTACCTCGTTAGAACCAATCTGAAATAATTGAATTTCATTTTATTGCATGATCATATTTGTATTAACTTAAAGAGTAATAGGCCAAGTCTGAATGCTCTAAGTAGATTTTTGGATAACAAAAAATTACTATTTTCTTATAAAAATTTTGAATTGTATCTGGTATTTTTCAATTTAAGCCCTGGGTTTCACCAAAATAAGAGCAAAACCATAGAATAATTAGTAAAACAAACCAGTATATATAAGTAAAATGTGGACAATGTTGATGAAATAGTTCAAGTAACAGTTACTCTTTCTAATTCAAGTCTAAGACAACTAATTGAACAAAAAGAAAACAAAATATTGATAGTGGCGATATCAAAGAAGAGCAAATACACTTTCAATAATGTTCTTAAGTAGACTTCTGACTGAAATTATGGACCAATTCGTTAAAATGATTCAAATTTTAACAGGAATTCAAAAACAAGACAGAATGTTAAAGATTATTTATCATTTATAAAGAGAGGGTTATAAAAGAATGCAAAAATAAAACTCAAACTGCATTAGAAGCCTGTTTGACAAAGGCAGATCAGTAATGATCTGACTGAATACAAATTTTATTTGTTTTTAAATTCTTATATGGGCTTAACCCAATTCCCATAGTAACTTTAATTACATGTTAAGATAGCCTCATTTAGCGCTAATTTGCTTCAGGTTCAACTTTGTTGGAATGTCCTAAGTGTTATTATGGTAACAGGTTACATTTGCAATTAATTGTTTAGAGACAAAATATTATAAAGTAGTAGAGCATTTACCAAGCTCTGCATAAGAGTTGAAGTGCTATCCTTCCTCTTCTTGTGACTAATTTTAAGTAAAGAAATCTCAACTTTAACAGATTCGAATTGCTCATCAAGAGTTTTATCATAAAATCCAAGGAAGGTTAATGTCATATAACCTCCTAAGCTAAGACGACAAGGCAAATCGCCTTTATTTTTTTCCAGCACTTGTTCAAGCATCATATCAACTTTAAAAGTTCTGCGTGCTTTGTGATTTCTGGACATGCGCTGCTTCATATACAGTAATGTCCGATTGATAAAAATAGGCTAAAAAATTGAATTCATGTATTAAGTGATACTATTACTTTTATTTTGTTTGGTGATAATACTCACACAAACAATGTTTCTTGTTCTTAAGTAACGATAAATTTGTGTAGGCTCTAAAATAAATCAGAAAACATATAGGTTAAAATTTATTTTAAAATTAAAAGCACATATATGAATCATTTATTTGTTTACGTATGCAACATAATATAATCTTTGTTTGATAACATACTTTCAAAAGCTTGCAAAAACAATTCATGATCCGCCTGAATGTGATCCATTCGCGGGTTTTTCGACGGCTCCGCGTCTCTGTCTTTACGTTTCGGTGGCATATTAATTGATTTTTAAATATAGATATCAATTAACAAAATGCTGTAATTAACGTCACATGCATAACAAAGTAAAAACTAGTAAATTTCAAAAACAAAAAAAAACAGGATTATATGTTGCTACAGCATCTTTGCACTCGATGGTTGCACTTCTAAGCACTTCACTATTTACAAAATTGACACATTGACACTGACTTCTTTTCATATGTAACTGACACATAACCGACTAACATATCGCAATAGCGACGCGTTCGTCAATTGGCTGGCACTGACACATAGTTGGCCAGCCGGTCAAAAAAAATATTTTTTTTAACAAATTACTTCTCTTAACACACTCTTTTTTATCTATGATTAGTAATATTCTATAGATTTAATCATAGATAAAAGAAGAGTATGGATTTACTCTTACTATACTTTACTTTACTCTTACTATACTCTTCTTATATCTATGGATTTAATCTTGTAATGAATGATAACTTTAACTAATTTTTGCAAACTTTGACAAATTTTCAAAATTAAAAGACTTGTCGTAGAACCGTAATACTTTAGTACCAGTTTCGATCATCGAGATACATCGAATGGCTTTTAAATTTTTTAAATCGGTCTTGCCGTTTTTGAGAAAACGTCGATTTACGGCAAAGTATCTGTTCACATGCACACACACATACCTTTTCCAAATTTGGTCTCATTCGATTTAGAATGGCTTGAAACGTCGAGGAAACATAAAATTAGCGAATCTAAATTTTTTATGAAAACATAAACTTCTTCTTCGGGAAGTTAAAAATCTGTTCTGACAAGTTGAAATTTTGCCTGAAAATAAAATGCCACTTACTCCTAGCGATACTTTACATTATAGGTTATGGAAGATAATTCAGTTTTTTTCGACCAGCTCTCCATTTATACTTAATAAGCAGCCTGCTAGTGACAGCTGTCACGTTTGTTGGCATTCGATGGCGTCCATTGCCGTTTATCAAAACAAAGCTCTCTAAAGTAATATCTGACAAAGCATTTATCAAGGGTCAATTAGTAATTGCTAAATATCGTGATAATAGTTTTAAGTATTTATGTTAATGTAGAATTCTTAAGTATTCTTTTACGAGCTTGTTTTAATATATTCATATATAGTTTTGACTTATAACAATATGGAAAAAATGGATCGTTTGGACCGAAACGTACGAGATGTAAGGTAAGGCCATTTCTTTTATTTATTTTGTTATGACTCATACTGTAAATGAGTATTGTTTACAGTAGAATGAGGTTTATAAAATCTTGTTTATTTTAGAAATAATGAATGTAGAATTAAACTTTATGTAAATTCTTTTATACTTTCATTTTTAAAAATTACTTATAGCTCTCGAGGTATTAGTTCAATTGGACCCAAAAGAATGGTCCCAAAAGATCCGCCACAGCATGCAGAATTAATAAATTTTATTCATGAGTCTTGGCACAAGGTACGATTTATTAGCTATGAGTAAATTTATAGTGTGCTGTGTCCTCGTATAAAGTAGTTGTATTTTAGGTAGCGATAGAAATTGAGCAAGGTGGTTGCAGCAGCACCTTGTTTTATAGAAACACAAGTACAGATCCAAGGCTAAAAGAATTCAAACCCTTTGACTTGGAGAGTTTCTGGGGTCGTCGCATGGTTCAAAACTTCAGAAACCATCCATAAAAATGGAAACAAAATTGTCCATATAAAAGGTTATTGTATAAATTAGGAATTTCTTCAATATGTCAGAAATTTGGTGTGTATATTTTTATTATTTATATTATGACACATAGTAATTATTTTTTATACTATCGATTTTATTTCATGTGTAAAAAGTTTAGCAATTGTACTATATTTTTAACCATATTTTGTAAGTATTACTAAATGTTTGAAATATGTACGTCATTGTGACTTTTATACAATTTTTTCTATGATGTGGAGATGGGTGTTTATTAAAATATGTTTATTGTTGCATATGTTTTAAATTTGAAACTGTTTTCTGAGAAAACGTGTAAATAAAACGTTCTGGGCTTATTGTTTAAAAATGGAAAGTTGACTATACAAAACTTGTGTAAGATATGAATTTTACATATTAATTTATTATGTATATTATTTTATTTAACAATTATTTTAACTTGTAGAAATGCATAAATATTCATATTTTATCAAGTCTTTTATTTTGGTTCATAATAATTCATATGACATTGATATTAATTAAATTATGTTATTGTATTAGAGCAATAATATGTATTAATAATAAAAATCATATATACTCAAATAACATTTATTTTACAAATATTTTTACAAAAGTGTTTTATAAACATAGATTTATATTTTAACAATTAGCTACATTATATACACTCATACTTAAAAATTACATTCAATATTTACAATTTTGTACATTTTTCAAATGTGCTTACATTTAAACTTAATAATTAATATAACAAATGAGATCACAATTTTTGGCAACCAAAACTATGTAACTAAAATATTTATTTTAAAAACTAACTTATTCGAATCAAAATTAAAAAATAGTAATTTAATTCTAAAGTATAATTGATTATGTACTTTCTTTTTCTTATCAATATTTCTCTGTCAAAATTATAAATAGTAATTATTAAAAATATATTTATTATCTAACTCACTACTGGTGAGATTTCTAAAGTTCAGTCAAAATAAGATACATTTATTTCTAAAAATTATAAATAGCATTAGAAGAGTCAGTTGATAACTGCTATTTAATTCTATTTGAAATTAGTTGCAAACTAATACAATAAACTATTGATATACACTTAGACATTCAAACATTTAAAATACATTTCATACAATTTGTTGATTTTTGAAAAAATAGATGTTCTTCGCTATACATTGAAAATATGCATTTATGGATTACTAATATAGAATCAGCGTTTGTAAATAATTTTCAATAGTATCATGAGGTTTGAATTAAGACATCATCATTAATAGTAATCTTTTCGATTGGATGTCTTTCAAGAATTCAATGCTTTTTTATAAAATTATTAACAAACGCATATCATGTTGCTTTCTTTGGGCACAAAATCAAATTGTCATATATTAACATAAATAATGGATATAATAACTGGTTACCACATATATATTAAATTCTTTCCCCTGGGATAATTGTAGGTTTTTGTATCCTTTTTATTGTCATGTATTTCCCTAATATTATTGATAAAAATATATTTTTTGTGACCAATAATTTTAAGAAACCCATTCAAACCATTTGGTATTTTTTCTAATTTCTACGTATTAAAATATAATTATTTATTCAAGTAATACTACTATGTACAAATTAATAAAATATAATATAATGAATTAATATAATTCACTATCTTGCGCATCTTGATTTTCGCATGCAAGTACCCATTCCCAAATTCGCTTTGTCGTTACCTGGTGGTCCACCGTGGTTTCAAGTCCATAACTACTTAACAGTCTTGCTAATTTGTTTTTATTTTCATCAATAGAATTTCTTGAAGCTGGTTTCTCTTCGCAACCTTCTGCAATTGATTCTTTACCTCGCAATGGTGTGTAATTGAAAATATTGCTTGAACCAGAATTCGAATGAACGATTTTTGAATCCGTCCACGAGTCTTTTAGGTACTTGTTGACTTCAGTAACTTTAGCTCGTTTATCTGGTTTGTGTTCAAACATTTTTCTAAACATTCTCAAAAGACGCGGGGAGAACCTTCGGAAATTATTGGGAATCTTAGTTGTCCTTCTGCGTTGGTAACGGAAAAATGCGGAGTAGTTTCCATCCCTAATGCTATCAGCATGTTGCCAAGGTGTGTTTCCAGTTAGACATACAAATAAAACTACAGCCAACTGCCAAACATCAGCTGAGGACTTACAAATATACCTTTCATTTCGCACAATTTCGCAGACTTCTGGTGGTAAGAAAGAAATCCATGTGCAACCGATGCGGTTGACAAGAGTTCCTTCGCGAACTGTGGCGCCGAAATCACAAAGCTTTACTCTGGCAAAATCCGGCGCAAAAACAAGAATATTTTCTAATTTCAGGTCTCGATGGACTAATTGTTTTGAATGCATAAAATCTAGCGCACCGCTCAATTGAGAAGCAATTCGTTTGCAACTTTCTTCGGATAAACCACCTGCCTTAACATTTGCTGCTAGATCTCCATAGCACGCATGTTCTTGTGCGAAACAATAGAAATTATCGGCCTAGAATAAAAAAAGTAAAGGTCAAATATGATAAAAATATGATCAAATATACCTATATTTTATCAATATTCACCTTAAAACAAACTCTGTAGCTAGACAATATATTCGGATGGTGACTCAAAGTATAATTGTAATGATATTCCTTGATAAAATCTTTCAAAGATGTCAATTCTGCATGTATGGCTTTCAGAACGACCTTTGTATTGGTCCCTTTATGAGTCGCCAAGAAAATCCTGGCGAAACATCCTTCAGCAATGGTCTTCTCGAGGTCATAATCAGCATGAAGATCTATAACCGGAGGATCAATGTCCGGAATTTTGTGGATCTGGGTGCAAGAGCTCGAATGTGCGACGTGGCCTGTGTTGCCGTTGCTGTCGCGCTCCAATCTGTAGTCTGATATACGCATTTTGGATGATCTGAAAAATAAGAGAAATAAGAGTTAGAAAATTTGAAAAGTGGAATAAAGACAAGGGAAATATGGGCGAAATGACACAGTGGTCCAGTAACGTTTTCGCGACTGTATAATATGTGACGAGCGGTATAATCACAATCCTATCAGATGTTGAGCGTCATTGCCACAGTTTTGTAGCTTGTAACAATAATCAGTTCAAACATGTATTGCACCTTCAAAAGTTTATTTTAAGGCTAGTTATCATGTTGTCTGGAGACTCATTTATTATTATTTGAATTATTTCTATTAAAATTCTGTCAGTATTGTTGATTTCGAACAATTTTATTGCAATAATCAGGTGTTTGATAAAGTTTTGGTTATTTATTGATTTTTTGTTCACTTTCAGACAAAATGACATACTTATACAGTTGACAAAATGATATAAAACTATATAATGATATAGAACTATAGGGTCAAGAAAAAACATAATTAAAACCTATCAAATTGTCTTCTACTCAAACTACTTCTAAAAACAGACCAAAGGATCTACCGGTAAAAAGAAGAGTTTGGCATAAATTGCAAAGACCTCTATTCCATTCTGAACCCGGCGAAGGTTGTTTACAATTTATGATTTGGTCCCTCTTTGCTCATGGGTCCTGTGCTGATGTCCCAAAGAGAACCAAACGATTTATTTGTGAATTGTCTTCTTAAAAACGTATAAGTATCTCAGTATATCATTATATCTGTACTATATGGACAAAATGGTTTTTATAATTAGTTGCAGTTTTTGAATCAATGTATTTTTATAATTCCTACTTAACTAAGATGAGTAAAAACTAAGATTGAAACTAGTTATAATGTCATTAAATGAGTTAATAATTTTAAAGAACAAAAAAAACGTGCCATTTTGCCCGCACTTCCTCTATTTGTTTCTAAAGTTTGCGTTTTTGCGAGTGGTAACATTGCTTCCCTTTTGCGGATGTGTTCATGGCGCAATCATAACATTTTACGGTTTGAAGTGGTTGTTTATATTTTGAATGTTTTGTGTTCAAGTTGAAGTTTATTTATTGTATATCCGTGATAAAATTGATTTCATTCTATGCTGATTGATATTATATTAATAATAATATCCAAGTATTTAGTGTTTTAATGAAATTTTATGTTGCTGTCGGTCAATTATGACAAAGTATTTTAATTTGTTTACTTTGACACATTGTGGTAACTTATATTATATTCCTTATCTATGATTATATTGGTTTCATGATGAATAATTTTTCTACTTTGTATGTCTAAGGAAATTAGAAATTTGTTTCGTTCGATCTTGATGAAAATATTAACAAACATTTTATTCTTTAGTCTAATTGAAGATTGTAATGACATTTCTTTAATTATACATGTGTTTCGTATGTTTTGACATTTACAAAATGGCGGTAATTTATATAATGATGGTTTTCTTGTGCACAATATTTCTAGCGTTTGTGCTCAAGTTTTTGTTTCATTTATATGTCCTTATAATCGAAAAATGATGAAATAATCATGATAATAAAATTGTCGAAAGACCGCCATGCAAGCCATAAATTATGTTTAGAGGATTATAAACTTAATTGGTAATTTCAATGCGTCCATGAGACATATATTTCATTTGTCAAGCAACTGTTCATAATAAAATTATAACTCTAAATTGTTATAAATTACAAATGAATGTGATGGGTTATTTCTGCAAAGGTCGGCAGAGGCTTTTCTTTGTAAATGATAGTAAATTATTTTTGCAATATTTTTAATATCTTATATGGGGAAAGAGTTCCATTAGGATATTTATCAACCGAAGGTAAAGTTTATTTTCCGCTGAAAAGTTCGACTTTTGAATTTTTTTGTTTATTTTTATTGGCCTCGCTTACTTACAATTAAAGCATTTAGCAACCTACAACAGTTCATTTTTACTTTTTACACAATCTTTTGTATCTACTCTATATCTTACTTTCTCCATTGTAAATCTTCCTTTTCCTTCTTACATTTAATTCAAATTAAATGACAATTCTTTTGTCAGCACAAGGACTCAAACCGAGTATCCGCGGCATGTGAGTCGGGTATGGGGCCGGATTTAAAAATTTGGCGCCCCGGGGCAGTGATAAAAATGCCGCCCCCTCCCTGAAATTTTACTTAAGTTTTTATGTCTCATTTTTCTGAAACTGAAAGAATTTTTTTCTCACTTTGCAAATTTTGCCGCCCCCTAAAATTTGCCGCCCTGGGCAGTAGCCCCGACCGCCCCTACTGTAAATCCAGCACTGGGTATGCCACTGAACGAGCTATTCCGGCCACTTCGATTTTTTTATTTCATTTTTTCTCATAGTAATTTTTGAGACAAAATTTAGGAAAAGTATGAAATGCTTTTATTAATCCCAGACTGGTCTTTTGCCTGGGTATGTCGGACTCAATACCGCCTGGTTATAATATTGACTAAAACCTCCGCTTTTCCCTTGTCTCTCGTCCCCACGGTATTCTTGAGAAAACCACGGAAACCGCCGTTGGGCATTACTTCGTTGGGGGAGGGTCTAGAATGTTATAAGAAATTATGCTCATCTTAAATGAACGAAGTCCCAATCGCTCTTTCTCTTTCCATAGATCGCAGGTCAATTAGCACTTCTTTCGCAAATGTGTCTATGGCGGAAAAATTATGTGTGTGTGTAGTGTATGTGACCCACTGATTTTTGACCATTCGTCAACTTTTTCTCAAGAACGGCTGGACCGGTTTCAAAAATGTAATTGATAGTTTTTCGAGACGACCGGCTGAGCTGTTTCTTTAGATTTAGCAGAAACGTGCAAAATTTTTCGTGCTAAAAATTCTGAATCGATTTTGATAATTCTAAAACTATTCGATATGTCTTTTGAGAATCGTGCTAACTGGTTTTCTGCAAAAATCGGCAGAGGCATTTTTTTGTAATTGATTGTAATTTTCTGTTTGCAAAACGTTTTCTCCTTATAATAAATTATATGGGGAAAGAGTTCCTGGTCTTGATGAACATACTAAAATAATATAGTCCTACGAAAAGTGCTACAGTAATAAAAAATAATTGCATCAGCAAATTTTTGGTGGCACTTGGAATATCTAAATCCACCAAATTTTGGCCTATCGTCAACTTCTTCTCAAAAAACGGCTGAACCGATTTAAAAAATTTAATAGTCAGCTTTTCGCAAGGATCAGACTTTGACCAGACGACAATCCTTTGGACGTTCAGGTTTAATGGTAATTCCATCTAGTTGTGATATATTTTTAACATATTCTTTCACCAAATTCAACCAATAATTTACCTTAATAAAATATTATCATTTAGTAGTGTTTGTCCATAACATTGCATAACAGAAATTTCTGACGTTGTAAATATTTTCAATAATTGTTTTCGTTGGGTCAGCATTGGCAGAAGAGCACGCGTTGCCGATCACGTAGTAGTTTTAAATTTCATACAAACTCAATTTTTGGCATGCATTCAATATCGTCGTGTGTGAAAATAATAGATTTTTTGTCTAATTATAAAAGTGCTGTCTTGAAAATGATCGTAATAAACATTGGCGCCGTCGAAGGTGCTAAGCCTTGAGACGGTCATTAAAATATTTTCAGGTAATTAGAAGAAAATATGAGATAGTTTACTGTTTTATAAATATTTTATCATACTATAATTCAGTTTATTGATATGTGTATGCAAAAGATATTTGATTAATTAATTAAGATAATTATTTTCATTATTATATCACTAGCTTCTCTTAAATCAGTCATATGTCTTTTTAATTTCATATTTATGCAAACGCAATTTATCTGGCACTACGCCCATCAGTCAGATGTAAACATAGATTTTTTATAGTATTAGAAATATAAATTTAAATATTAGGCAAAATAGCCCTTTATTGACATTGCTGAATTAAGACAATAAATATTAGAATATATTAGAAAAACTCTAATGAAACTTCGAGAAGGAACATTATATTGGTTATCCAAGACAGCCGATAATAATCTTTTCATTTTTTATGCATTTGGGATAAAATATTTTGATGGTTTGCTTATTTTTCTTGAATAACAGTAGCAATATTAATAACAAATTTCAAATTAATGACTGAGTAGAGTGTAATTATATATCTTTTATTCAGTGTGTAAAAATTTTGTTTACCGCTGGCACCAAAAAGTTGGCTCGAAAAACCATGATAAATTTCCCATGAGCAAAGCTGGTAAATTATAACGCGTTTCGTTTTGGCTGACAATACTTCACGTGATTTAATAAATTGCTGATTTTACTTTCAACTTCGACGTCATACATATGACGAAAGAAACATTTTTACAATTTTATACGAGTCTTATCAAGTCTTTTTAAAAACTTTTTTTAGATAATTTAACAGCAAAACTACTGAAGCTGTATGTTGTACATTCCATAACCTAGTGCCACTTTAGGGCAACTTAATAGTTGATCATTTTATTTCGGTTAATGAAATTTCTAATAGTGATGTGAACATATAGATATTGCAGCAATATGCCAAAAAGCTATTTTCATTTTCAGGTGAGAATTTTATATTACTACTGCTTGATATTAAGCTGAAAAAAGTGGGATTGAACCCGAAACCAATGGTTACTAAATCTCGCTCTTATCATGACCTCATGTAAAATTCTATTACATTTTTTTGTGATCATAAATGCTTATGATCTTTTTATCTTATGATGATTTTAACCAACATTCAAACATTATAAATTATTCTAACTATATCCATTAATATTTTAGAACTAGTTTTATTACTGTATAAATTGATTTATGATTGTTCGTTATTAATATTGGTTTTATTTAAATAACCATCAGGTTGATTATCCATTAGACGACGATTATCACATCAACAGATAAATATATCCATGTCTTCATTTTTTTTAAGTCTCTCATACAATATATACCTTCAATTTTATTAATGTGTTATAAATTGACTCAAAAGTCATTCATCATTCGTAGACGGTGTATACTTTTTTCGATTTTGTGAAGACACTGAACCGTCAGCAGATAATCGAGCAAAAGTCAAAACAAGGGCACATGTAACGTTAAGAGAACTAGAGTGTGAAGCAGTGGTATCAAACTGGACCAACTTTAATAGAAGAATATATATGAATTCACAGTAAAAATATAATTTTTCTAATGTTAATACATGCCGGTATTCTATGGCAATAATTTATTGTATACCCGTATTTTCGATAACGTAAGCATTGAACTATTACTTTAGTTGACCCTTCAGGTTCTATGTCTAGTTCTAGACAAGTATTCCAAATTATATATGTCTTTGGTGTATAAGGTCTCACTTATTTTGTAAAAATGATATCCTAAGTGTAATAGATTAAAAAAACTATAAAAAACGCTTGTATAAACACCACAGGTATAGCTTTTTGATAGTTTTGTGATGATCGACATATTGAAATCAAACATCAAGAGAACAAGATTTATCAAAATAAAATAGGTGGTTACCATGAGAGACTGATTAACTTAACATATCTGTGTTATCTGAGAATAGTTTCATCAATCTTATTAACGTTTGAGGAAGATACACAAATAGGGATTCCTAAAAATAAATTTTTGCATAATGGCATAGTTGTTTTCCAATACTGAGCCCTCGTATTTTTCTCCCATGGTGTATAGTAAAAGCTAGGGAATATACAAACAGACATCGTATAAAATCTGGTATATGGTTGAGGATTTGTTTATGGCCTATTACAGCTTTCCCAAGGCTGTATTGTGGATTTGTTTTCTTCGCCGGGCTTATTTATTCTTCATTTACGCTTATATAAGAAAACTTACTATCATACGGCTGGGTATGATCGAGATGAGCACTCTAGGCAAACAATAAATATTGGATATATTTTTCGAGTTGGAGAAAAGATTCGTACAAAATATTTGATTTGGGATAATACCTTTGGAAAAGAATAAGAATTGGTAGAAGAAATTTGGGATTGATCTGACACGATATTGGCTGTTTTATAAATACATCTGATCAACAATGAAACAGATACTAACTTTTCCAAATAATACTGGTTTCATAATTCGATCCGATTGCTTAATTTTTCCTATTTTTCCATAACATCTGCGCAATTTCTGCACAGTATCAATAAAATTCTAGATTCATCGAAAACGTGATCTTTAGTTTACTTAAAGATTTGCGTAGACGAAATTCGAAAACAGAAATATTTCCAACTCGTACATATATTTATCTCTTAAAAGCTGTGATTCCCAAGAATTGAAATATAATTCGTTAAGTAGTTTTATTTTTGTTTTGAATGCCTCGTAAATTTGACTTCAGGAATGTATAACTCGTAACTTGACATTCATTGTAAATGTTCAAGGACTAGGAAAAAGCTTTTCGGATTAATTCGACATTGTGATCTCAAAATCAATGTTATCACAACAATACTGAAAATATTTATAGAAAGATATTTTTTGATATTTTATGGAGTAAAAGTTTATTCCAACGAGTATTTTTAGTTTGTGTGCACTACAATAACAAATATATTTAACTAATAAATATATTCATGTTATAGTTTCAAAAGTATGGTGATAGCATAAATATTATGCTTTGAAATTTCATATCTTCAAACTATATTGGTTGAGCATTTCCCAAACAAAAATATTTTTACTTCGAAAATAATCGAGACAGAATGTTTATTGTGATAATTCAGAATAAAGAGCTTTTAAAGTTTGAATATAACTACAAAGCTCTCTTTATAAAAATAAATATCAATCAGAAAATTTTGATAAAATAAATCAGACAGATAAAAAGCGTGTAAATATAAAGGTGTAAGTGGCATTTTGCCTTAAGGCAGTTGCAAAATCGTCTCAAAATCAGCTTTTTTAAAAAAATTATATCTAATATTTGAGCATGTTCTTTAACATTGTGATATATATCATTATTGAAAGTTTCATCAAAATCGTCAAATTTGTTTTTAAATATTAACTACGAAGAATGTTATCCGCACACTTACATGCACACATTCTTTTGCTAAAATTAGAATAACTAGAGACGCCAATATAATTTTTTTAAAAGCAATTAGAACTTGCTGTGTTCTATAGGATGCTATGGTGATAACCTTGTGTTTATTGGAATGCAACTTAGGGGTTGATCATTCTCATTATTCATCATAGCATTGCTTCAAAAATTGCAATTATTTTAAACTTTTAGATTCAATAATCTCGAGTAAAAATTTGATATAACTAGTGATTGATACCAAGCTGGCCGAGGCGAGTATCGAATCCGTAATCAGGGGTTGTTAGATCTCGTTTTAGAGTGGTCTTGTATAAGGAATTTAGAAATTAGGATAATAGTTATAATTACAATATATTAAAAAAGTTACTCTGTAGTAGAACTTATATTCATGAACCTTTTTAACATTTAAATGATAAATTACAAGTCTCACGAAAAAACTTCAATCCAAGCATCGTAATTCAAGTACTTTTTCAGTTAATCAAAGAATCAAGAAAAGTCTGTAAGACTTTTATAGAACTCTATACCTAATTTGTTAGG